TATCCCTTCCAGTCCTGGGTACCCCTGGGCAGTACCTGCTCCAGGTCAGGAGCATTTGGCTTGCCAAGGTGTTGCTGTAACAGAGACAGCTGGAGTAGATCCCAGGCTGATTTGGTTTTTGCAACCCAAAAGCCAGCACTTAGCACTTTACCTAGTAGTCAAAGATCAGAAAAAACTTTACACCTTTTTCTTCAACAATTGAAAATTATTTGTCAAATTCTGCACTCCAATTTTTTTATGGATTTTCAATCCAATATCATTCTAGGTAAAATCTGGATGTATAGGGACAATAGGGACAAAATCTGGCAACATTAAGGAAGGCATGAAGCTGGAAATGCGACTCCTGCCTCAGAAGCCTGTACATTACTGGGAAGTCTGTCTTATCATGTCCTCTAGCTTCACTAGAATTTTTAAACACAGATTTCTTTATTGTAGTAATATCACTTTATGCAACATCAACATGATTCTATAACTATCAAAATATCTATAAATGAGAATATCCTGAAACATGTCAAAATATCACTGCTCTATTTTAGGACATATAGAGGTATGGGAAAGCATTCATTTTGCATATATTTTGGGTTATTTCCATTTGCTTTAGAAAACTGTTCTAATTTTTATGTCTGCCATATGAGAGCCATGATTCAAATCCTACAAATTAAGTTATGATTCCAATGATTAGTTTCTTCTGTGCATTCTTACTGGGAAATTGAAAGAGGTAATTTAATATAACTTATTCTGAAGTGGGTGCTGTTTCGTCAGTTCAAGACAGGACCAGTGCCATTCCCTTGGTTTGTTTCAGGCCTCATTAACTGATTATTCAAATCACAGGCTCTTATACCCCAAAACTGGATTACACTTTCTTGAGTACTGGAGAGCCTGACTTGTTATTCTGAAACTATGGTTGAAAACAAATTGTAACCAACAGCTGAATAAACGTTTATTCATATCACAGTAATTCTGGTCACAGCCAACCTGAGCACGGAATTGAACTTAAAAATACTGTGTTCCTGTAATAATTCAATGGTGCTTATGTGCTTCATACACAAACTCCTGAGAACAAATCCAGTTGCAATAATGTTGGTGTGGGACTGGGGCTTCTGTTGCTGCTAATTCTTGAACTCAGGAGGAGTCAGGTGGAGCTGTGCAGCTGCTAAGGAGGCTTTCCCTTCACGTGAGACAAAATGTTGTCCCCCAGATCTTGAAGGAGGGCTCAGCCATTCAAAGCAACAAGTTCAACTCAAGTAGTGGCGCACATCAAGTTGGGGCAGAGGAGAACAGAGTTATGGGTCCTGCTTAAATGCTGTTTAGCTCTTTAGTTTTTACCAGTATTGTGTCTTTCATGGTATTATGCAAATAGACATCTAAATAACACAACACATGCAGTCATACCCTCATAGACACAACTGAACAGCTGAAGATGACCTCAGGACTTCAGAGACTTATTTCATGTGTAGGAGATCAAAAGAAAATACCTCAAAGCTTCATTGTATCTGAATAAACAAGAAGGTGTGAAATGCTCATGAAGGATTTGTCTGGCACAAACATGCATGACAATGAGAGCAATAAATCTCACATGGATACTGTAGAGGAGTTCTACTAGTTTTTTAGTTTTAGTTTTTTCCAGCTCCAATTATAGGTGCTGGAAAACTGCAAATAAAAAAGATACATAATTCCAGAGATAGTACTACAGCAATGCACAGATCCTCAAGATTACAACCTCAGCACTGGCTTTCTCTACAGCAGAGTTATTCTGGTTTTCTGGTATAATCACCTTCTTGCAAACAAGGTAAGTGTCAAAATAATTCTCATTTTAAGAGTGATGCACATCATAATCAAACTCTAATCTAACTCTCTGGATCTCTGTACTGTTGAATATTCTGTTACAAATGTTCTATGTTGAGGTGGATGTATGGTGGAAATACTGGTAAAATCTGTTCTATAATGGCCTGAAAGAAACTTTGCTTGCCCAGAATCCAGACAGTGCTTTGCATTTTATCATTCACACCTTCCCATGAAAGGTACAGAACTTTTATGTCAACATCCTGAAACATGAGCAGCTTCTGAAGTCGCAGCTTAGGAACTCATTTTTAATCCAGCTAAAGCAGAGCCTACCCTCCACTGACACAACGCAGCTAACTCAGGCCTAGCTGAGAGAATCACAGGCTGTGGAAATCTTTTACATGACATAAAGATGATGAACTGGATTGCAGCTGTGGTAGACTCCAGACTCATATTGTTAATGACTATACAGCACATGTTTATGTAGTGACATAAAAGCAATTCATCAGCCCTCCCTGGACTTGACTGAACGGCTCAGTAAGCTTGGTGTGAATTTCATAGTCTGTTGTTGCTTTTGAATTTTTTTTTCTTGAGATAGGGGAAAGGAAGTGATAGATTGAGGAGCTCTGAGAAGCATTTCTCATCTCCACAGAGGAAGGACAGTTTCCTTCCAGCACAGCCAAGGCCTGGGAAGTCACTAGTGTCCACACATTCCTTACTGTTATCATAGATTGACACCTAAAACAGAGTCCACTGTCCAGAGCCACACATGAATTACTGCTGAGCTTAGGAGAGCTCCTGCATTTGTTTGGACAGTGGCTCCCTTTGCCACTACCATCTGGGCTATATTTCAGATATGAAAATTGCCTTTCAAAATCAATCCTTTTTATTTTACAGGCCTGCATATGAAGATTATATATCCATTAAGTTTGTCATGCATCTCACCTGCTGTCCAAACAAAAAGGCCATTTCTCATTCTCTCCTAAAGTTTTTCTAAGTACTTTTGATTAGAGCATCTTGACTTTGATTTACTGTCACCATTATATATAATTCCATTTCTAATTCCAGTGTGAAGTAAAAGGAATCCTTATTCAACAAGAAGCTCTTCCATTATCTTTAAATACATACTTTCTATTATTTCAATAATAATTATTCACCAGGGTTAATAAAACACAAACTGCAAAACTGGATTACCATAGTTAAATTTGACCTGAAATAGCCTGAATCTGACACTGTATCAACAGAAAAAAAGCTTGGTTACAGCACTACTCTATTTTTCATTTATGTGAGACCACAGAAATGTATTCATTATGTACACAATCATATCTGATAAGACTTAGAAAGGGGAATGTACACAGCTGGGAGAATTCACATCCAACAAAATACATAAGCAGCTGAATAAATGCTCTTCCATAACCTTACTTGGTCCAAACCATTTGGTTCTTTCACTGCTGATCACCCTCTTTTGGCTATAACCAGGATTATATTTAGGTCAAAATGTCTGCTTTGCTTGGGTTTACTAGTTTTCACTTTTTGCCTTCTAATAATACATATGTGGTAGAGTGTAAAGCACAAAATTCTGTCAAGTCTTCCTTAATCCAAGTTGTATCATGGTTTTGTATAAAAATGTTACAACAGCCTAAATATATGGAAGGTGAGTTCTACAGTGATTTTTTCTAAACCAAACACAAGAATCAGGCTGGTGAGATCTCTGGCCTAAGAACTCTTCAATTTTTCATGCTCTGTTAGCTGGTCTTAGAATCTAGGAAGTCCTAAGGTTATAGCTCCAGTACATCCCTAGACTAACCATGGTTACAGCAATCCTCTTGCTACAATGGGGATTAATGATACATTTAGCAGGTGAAATCTTCCTGCATTCCAACCATCCAAAAGGGAATTTTTCCTCCATTCACCACATATAATACAAAAACTGATTTAACAGTAAGCATCTGAAGTGGGCTTTCATTCTCCAGCTGATTTTGCAGCAGAATGGAATCCATTCAATGACTGGAATTGGACAAAATACATGGAGGTATTTTCTTAGCATGGATGAGTCCCATTGGGCAAAATTATACTCCAATCCTGGTTCTCCTGCTATTAAACAGAAACCAGGGGCTGCAGACAGCACAAGCACAAACTTCAGCCTGGCCTGAAGTCAGGACACAGCCTGAGGTGCACAGGCATACCCCAGGATGTTCTTCCCAGTTTTTAAGGTTATGCACCCATAAGAAACATTCCTACATAAATCAGTTAAGGAGAGATGATGGCTTTAATTTTCTGATTATTTCACCTATCTTTGTTTCAGCTTTGGCCCTCAGCATCACAGCAGGTTTCAGTGTGAGACCCCTCCAAGACCAAGTCCGTCAGTAATGTGAATAAAGTAGCACAGTGAACCTCACAAATCTCATCAAGTTAAGTTCTTAGGCATGAACTGATAGAAATCAGAAATATAAACCCCAAAAATCGGAAAAGAAAGAAAACTACCTATTCCTTGAGTATATTAGAAGAAGTAATTCATTATTTTTAATACTAAGAATAATGCAATCATGAGAAAAAGACATTTGCCTAGCCCTTTGAGCATTCACCACTAGCAAAATTGCTTAAATGAAAAGGAAAAAAAAAAGAGAGATAACTGTGTACACAAAATTAGCACGAGAATTAGCAATCAACTGTAGTTCATACAAGGTTCTTAGCAGATAGCATCATGTTTATTAATAAATGATGAACTGCTTAGTGGAGTTTTTGCTTAGTGATATCACTATAATAACAGACACATGTTTTATTTATGTTTCAAGTTACATCCAAAATAAGCAAGATATTAAATGTCAGATTCTCTCTGATATCTAAAGATTCTTTACCCCAAATTTAAACCTCCACTAGATGAGATAGCACTTCATCAAAACCAAGGGGAATAATATGACGACTTCAGTCACTGTGCTCATCTTTGGGGATTTTTTTCCCTGTGATACAACAAAGCAAAAACTGCATTTCTTAAAGCTGGCTGCACTTTTCTCATAAGGATGGTATTTTTTTTTCTCTGTGGGATACAGTGCTATTTGTGCAGCAGATTGTATTTTGACAGATGCAACTGTATCATAAAAAGGCCCTTAGCACCATGAGACTGGTAGCTCACAAACGTTCATGAGCTCCAGAATTTCTTAAAAAAATCCCAATAATGAAAATATTTTTGAGAATGCAAAATGCCTGAAAGGACTTACCTCCCCCACACCAGTCTGCAGAATTTTCAGTCCAGTTGTTTTTTCAAGCTTCTCTTTGTTTATGGCTGTAAGGAAAAATGAAGAATGAGAGAGTTAAAGGAAAGCTGGAATATGTATGATTTTACATCATTTCCCACCAACTTTCCTTCCTTCATCAATATATTCACAACAGTTCCTACCTATTCCATTTGTGGAATATCTTTCCCTGAGAGCAACACTGCTAGTCAGTTTTTTGAATGCATATTTATGCTATTCATTGCTCATTATTATGTGAAAAAGAAAGCCAAGCTAATTCTATTTTTAACAATATTACACACATTTAACACAGATACAAAATTTGTTTGGAAAGTTTGTTTCTGAGGATACTTCCCACTTGCCTGTATTAAAGAGCAGAGCAGTAATTTACCAAGAGAACAGCACTGTCACTGTGCAGGACTTTTCACAACAGATACAGACTCTTATCTCACAGGTAAAATAAAGAGTCTATTTCACACCACCAGGATGCAATGCACAGTTTTTTTAAATTTTTTTTTTTGTCTTTATCAGCATCTATATTACTTAAAGCATTAAAAGCTAAACTAAAGCAAACCAGTATAAAGCAGTTAAATAAAGATAATAATCACTAAGACTACAAGTATACTTGCAACCCAAACACACTCAAGGCATGAGCTTGAGCACTGTTGTATAATTGCCCATTCCCTTAAATCTATGGTCTGGTATGGTTTTGGCCTGTGACTGTCAGCAGCCTCAAAAAACAGTGCTCAGCCACAGTTCTGGGAACAGCACAAGGATGAGATTGTTCCTAGCTGGGTGTATGGGTACTGCCATCCCATTCTGGATGGAAGATTTTGACCTTCTAGATGCAAACTTTGTCAGCTGGACTTGTGGCCCAAACCCCACAAGTCCAACTGACTTGATTTATTTATGAGTAGCAATGAAGCCTTGCAGCCTTGTTAACCTCTCCTTCCTTTAGCTGCCTGTAATCCAAGTGAGTCATCTGGGTTCTCTCTGCTGTCTTTGGAAAGGGATGCACATTTAATGTGGTGAGTCATCCCACACATCTTACACATATCTGCAGGCACCTACCTCTTCTTTGATTATGAACAAAATTTAATAGATGCAGCTTCTCAACTTTGGTTGCCTAAAGCAAACCTTCCAATCAGAAAGGTCAAGAAGTGCTGGGACATACTGCACACTGTAAATTTACATGAAAATTTACTTACGGGAATTACCTTTTTTTTTTTTTTTGTGAAAAATTCTCTTTAATTGTTGCCATTTGAAACGTTTAAAACAGCTCAGATTTCAGCAGATATTTCTTGAAGATTATTCTGGACTCATACTTTATTGAGTTTGTCCAAAGTGAAACACAAATGAGTCACATTTATTCCAGAGGTAAGTCAGATCATTAGGCTCCATTACCACTTATGGAAAGATTTTTGTAAGAATTTTTACATGCAAAAGACTCAAAAAGTTACACCTCTAGCAACTCTAACACAGAAAAACTTTTCTGACTGCCTTCTGCAAGTGGTGAACATTGCCCTCAGTTCAAACAAAGAAATCTCTGCACACATTTTAGACCCAGACAATTTTATTTTTGCATCTTTTTAATATGCTGATTAAGCAGAAGGGAACCTGGAGTCCCAAGCTAAGAAAGCTTAAATGCGTGTTTTGCTGAATGACAACCGAAAACCTGCATGCAATATTCACATAATTAACACCTGTGCCATGCTTTATACATTCACAAATATATTTATTCCACACAGAGCCAAAGGGACCATGGGAAGGAAAGCTGACAGAAACATGAAATTTAAGACCACTTTTTGCAGTGTTGCATATCTTGTGCAGTATGATTTTCCAAAAAAAATAAGTAAATCTTTGAAAAGATATGACATACTACCACACTGATCACCTTGCACCCAGAAAACACATTAAAGGCAGATTTCTACCAAGTACAAAAATTGAAGATTTATGAAATGAGAAAGTTCCATAGCCTCCTTCAAAGAAACTGAAGGTCCAACAAAAGATTCTTTGGCAGTTTAGGATAAAGAAAACTGCACAGTAGAGTGGCTGCAAAATAAATGGCTATAAGTAAACAACAAAGCCTAAATCCCACTGTGTAATTTCTTACCGCATGAACAGTTAATAGAAAATATTGGGTCTGCTGAATCGCTGAATTTTATAATTACTATTACAGATTTGACCTCCTTTTCATAGGTTTCCTGCAGACATTAATTATTGAAGCTTTGATATTAAAAAACAACAACAAAAAAAGGTTTATTTAATACCCCTGCTTTTTCCCTTGATATTGGCTGAAACACAAAGGACAGGTCTGACAGCCATGCTAACACAAACCCTGCCAAAATTAGGAGGCATGAAGGCACAAGGTGTTATTGATTAAATCATAACCGGAAAATGGTCAAGCCCAGGCTCTGTCAGATTGTGGAGAGACACGGCCGACAGTCTCTGGCGTGCTCACTCCAGGCGTGTACAGCAGAGAATTTTAGCTAACCTTGAACTCCACAAGCTGCCCAGGAAGGTCAAGAAATTCTGTCAAAAATGGTGCTGAAGCTGAAGCAGTAAGCACGTATCAAGCAGCTGCTTCAAGCAGTGGAATGGTGAATACAACCACTTAACCTTTTCTATGCAGGACTATAATGGAAAACTTGAAACAAGAAGACAAAGTCAGTATAGACAGATGGAAGAAGTGGTGGGAAAATGCATTAAGATATTAAGAACAAGCTACTAATTCTCTGAAAATTGGCCCAAATTTTTGAAAATATTTTAGTGTACTAACTGCTAGCTCATTCAAATACCAGTATACAGCAGCCGATGTTTCAGTTGCAAATTTTATGAAAGTAGAAATTACAATTCTGGGTAACATGGTATATTGCACATTTCATCGAAGTTATATTTTCATGGTCATAGTTTAAAGTCCTATAATAATAATAAAGGAGAACTGACAACCTCATCAGCAAAGAGGCATAATAAGAATAGCTATTCAAATTAAAAAAAGAAAAGAGAAAAAAGAAAAAATACCCCAACAAAATCCCCCTCAAACCAGTTAGCAACATGAAAATCCATTTTTAATCTTCCATTGAAACAAAAACAGCTTCCAAACACACAAAAATGGAGGCCTTTAAATTAAATTCACTAGATGAAGGATATGCAAATTACCTGAAGAAGCGGAGCCCTATAATGTTCTCAAAATTCTGCAATAGCCTATTTAATTAGTATTTTAATTTATCAGAATAATTCTTTGCACTTGACAATTTATGCAGTATTCCATATAATTAAGCACGTAGCTACAGTGGAATAATTTTGCCTACTCTCTGTGTACCAGTTATTTTAACCTGAAAGAATCTGTGGAAGTCTCTTCTGTGATCTAAATTACAATGGGGACAACTTAATGGCTTTGCTCTATTAGAGAGCATGATGAGGGTGTTACTGAGTGTTTAAGGGTAGGGATTGTCACTGCTCAGTCTTCACTAACCTGAGGGAGGTCTGATGTGTTTTCTGAGGGCAAACATTTATTTCTTTAGCAAAGTTATCTGTCAGTGGCACAGTCAGGAATTGGAGTGTGTAGGTTTGGCAGGTTTAACCTCAGAGTCCATCAGTTATTAGAAGGAGCAAGTTATGGAGGGCTCTGAGCAGAGCTCCAGTCTCATTACTGCACTTCTGGAAGGAGGTTTTCTGTCAAGCAGGCTGCCAAGCACAGCTGCACCCTCCAGCTGACTCGTGGGAGCACACACTGGCACGAGTGAGGGAAAGGGAACCAGGTTCAGCAGGGTTTCAGCAGGAAGCCTCCCCAGTTTGTCTCCCAGGCTGTTGCAGGATTTACCCAAGGAAGAAACAACCCTTAAATATGAAAAATGTTTCTGGGAAGATGGCATCACTCACAAGGAAAACTTGATTTTGGTGTGTATCTGACTTCGAATCTGTGTTGTATTTAATTGAATGTAAGGAAAAAAAGTACTTATGGGCATATGATTCCCCTGGCCTCTGTTACCTGCTCATTTTAGAATGAGCCAATTCATGCTCTAGACTGACTAACTATATTGACTGGACCTCCAGTCAATAAATTGAGAGCAACTAATTCAGATTTACTGTAGGCTGTCAGAAGAATTCTACAGTCACTGTTTTCTTCCCATCAGCTTGTTGTAAAGCTCCTTTCAAAGAGCCACATTTAGAAGAATTTAATTTATTTTCCTCTCTAAGGAAAGGAAGAAGGGAATTCCAGAGAGATGGTGCTTATTACAGTTTTTAGCTTTTTAACAAGTATCTCAAGACAAGCAAATGTTACATTTATTTACATAAAGTTGGACTTTTCTTTCTCCTCCCCTACAAGGAACCCTTGAATATTTGGAAAGCTTCTTCACAGCTTGGTTCAGAGAGAGCCTTTGTCTTTGACAGGGCCACACACTGTGCCATGCATATACACAGCAAGTCAAAAGCACAACATGGAATATTCAAAATGCATCAGCTCAGAACAAGAATGACCAAATCAAGTGGCCAGATCAAGTGAGAAGAAGGGTGCCTGTACTAAATTTTACAATGCAGTCAGTGAGGAGCAAGTACACAAACTGCAGGCAGAAGGTATTTTGTCCTCCAATCTTTACAGGGTGATGGCATGAGATAGCTGCTTCATGTGCAATTTCTATTTAACTGGCAGCCAGGCCTGGAATGGAAATGGTTTCAGAAAAGTCAAAGCCACATCGCTGTGCTAGCAACAGCCTGCTAAATACTATGTCATATTCAATTTTCAAGTCATTTTTCAAGTGATTTTAATTAGATATTGTTTCAATCTCATGTGCATTAATTTAATTTCTGATATCAACATTTCAGCTTTCAATCTGTTCAGATGCAGTGCCTTGCTGCCTGGAGTAATTTAAAATATTGTTTGCATCTCCAGCAATTTTGAGAGCACACATCCTTTACAACCTGCTCTAGCCAATAAAACCAGCAGATGGAAATTCAGAACATGCTCACCACTCCCTGTGCACTTTTGCGTTCTCACAGATTTTGGTATGAGGCAGCTAAATCTCCATGCTCACAATCAAGGTATTTT